CTCGTGCTTCGTAGCTTTACGTAAAATGGAAAAATCAAGCGTGTAAAAAGCGTGCACCGTCGCCTGCTGCACTAATAAATCGAGGACGACCCTGGATCTGACGGTAAAATGCATCCAACACAGTGGCATGCGCAAGACACACATGTACAATTAGGCAAGACTCCTTGCATTCTGGATCTGGAGCGCCGCATAGTCTTCGTGGAGCTTGGGGTCGCACTCGTCGTTGGTGAGTTGCTGGCATTTGCGAAACGCAACGTCGGGATCGAGGAGGCTGCAGTCGATGCCATGATCTTCGAGGAGCTCGTCCTGCCACGACACCATCTTCCCGTCTTTCAAGTAAGGGGCGTTGTAGAGCATGACGCGCAGCCGCGTCTTGGTGGGACTCGCGCGCTCGAGCACATACCTAGTCGCTCCATCAGATCTAGCTCGAATCTAGATCTGGCTCGAATCCAGATCGGGTCGTACCAAAACATGCGTGGGCGCCAGTCGACGTTCTCGGGCAGTCGTTCGTCTTGGAAGAAATTTCCAAAGGTAAAGACGATGCGGTCGTCGGTGCCAAACTCGCGGCACACGTAGTAGTTGGTCTCGCGCTCGCTTCGCACATTACGTCGATAGAGCATTTGGTTGGGCGAGATGGCGCTGGTGAGCTAGTCCGACATTGACATTGTTAGTCGACTTGCATCGCTCAACGATTCGCAGACAGCTTGTTCATTACCTCGGCGTCGAGAAACTCGGAAAAATAGACGCCCGTCTCGCCTTGCATCATGGACCAGATCGGCCCCTTGAGCGCGTCGTATGTCTCGAGCAGCGAAAGGTCGTACTCGACCTGGATGCGCCCGACGAGGTCGAGGTGGCCATTGCCGACATCCAGGAGCACGTTGTCAACAACTGCGCCCGTCGATGGAAACTGCGCGTACGCGGCCATGCGGTCCGTGTTGTGGTAGAGGTGCTGGCTAAACCAGTCGAGGCCGAGCTTGCGCGCAGCAGGGTCGGCCAACAGCGACGTCTTGGTCCACCCAAAGGGCGTGCCGGCGAGCGGGAGGACCCGCGTGCACATGGACGCGACCCACGCCGTCATGGCTTCGCCCACGTGGCGCGTCGCGTTGTACTCACTGCGTAGCCTGTGCAGCGTGGCTTGGGCGGCAGCGTTGCCACGCCGAGAGACGACAGTGAGGAGCTGGCCGAGCTCGAGGATCTGCGCTTGGAGCATCTCTCGCTCCGAGATGTGGCGCTCGCGGTGGCGCTTCTGCTTCAGGCGGTTGCGGAGGCGCTGGTGTTCCTTCTTGGCGAGTACCAGGTCCGCCTCCGAGAGGCTACTGCTGCTGGCTGGCGACGCCATCGTGTGACGCTGCTAGAATGTTGATGTCCGCGTGGGACGAGCTGGAACTGGGTGCCAGTTTTGATTGGCTGATTTGCGAGTCTGTTTTCTGATTGGTCCGCTCGCCTACCAAAAAGCACCCACGACGAACATTCCGCCAGCGCACAGCTTCCTCCTGTGTGGCGGCCACCACTCGTCCATGTTGCCTGGTACAGCAGCCCTGTCAGTGCATTACCGGTACGGTGTTCCTGGCATATACGTGGCTTATTGAGCCTGCACGACGAGCGCAACACTCATCTAATAGAGAATCATTGCCGTGGCGCCAAATTGTCCTTCTGCATTTTTGGCGCCAAGGTGCCCGACTACCGCGCATCCACACTAGACTCAGCCCAGGCTCGTTACTTGTAGTTTTGAATCCTAGGTGCCACATATTGAAATCAGAGAAGCAAGCATCGTCAGCAAGCGATGACACGAGTGATTTGGACCGAAACTCTCATACATTTATATGCTACGGGTAGTATGTGCTCACGAGTCGACTTGAGGGTGGGTGGTCTCGACGGCCGTCACCATCGACGTGGTGACCGAGTCCAGTAGTGACAGTACGTACGGCTGGAGCGCGCGCTTGCAATACTCGAGCTGTTGGTCAGCGGCAAGTCCGCTCAAATCCATCTCTTCCTCGCCCACCTCGTCTCGCCACGGCACAATGCGGCCATCGACGAGCTGCGGGCCGTTGTACCACACGACACGAAGCCGCGTGCGCGTGGACGACACTCGGTCGAGTACATACCTGCGCCATAAACATAGTCAATGCTTTCCACATAAAAAGACAATATGTCCACACGTACCAAAAGAGACGCGACCGCCATCGCGACGTGCGTGGAAGCGTCTCGTCATGACCAACGTTGCCGCAGACAAACACAATACGGTTGCGGCCGCGGAATTCGCGACTCACATAACAGGTTTGTTCGTTGAGCAAAGGAACACTGCGTCGGTAAACCATTTTGGCAGCGATGGCGTTCGTCATCTAGTGTATGCGACTTTCGGTACTTGGTTGATTTATACGAAGATGTGTACCTCAATGTTGAGGAACTCGGAGACGTTGGCGGCCGTGTCGCCGCGGAGGTGCGCCCAGATTGTGTCGTGAAGAGACTCGTATGTCGCCTCGAGCGATTTCTCGAAGTCGTGCTGGTGGCATACGAGCAGCTCCAGCGACGCGCTTGTCTCCCACACACGAATCGGCTCGGCCACTGCGCTGCCATCGTGCGGGAAAGCACAAGTCTGCAGCAAGCGCTCCGTGTTGTGATAGAGGTGCTGGCTGAACCAGTCAAGGCCGACCTTTCGCCCGACAGCGTCAGCGACAAGCGTCACGCCGCGGTAGCCCTCGACCTACGCGTCCAGTCAAAGCTAGCATATATAAGCAGAACGTAAAGTTACCGACGAGGCGACCCAGGACGCGAGCTGGGCACAGAGCGGCTGCAGCGCCGTCGTTGGCGCTCGCGGTACCTTGGTCCGGCGCTTCTGCAGCGCCCGGAGGACGTTGCGCAGCTGATAGACCTCGGCCTGCAGCGCATCCCGCTCGGTGATCGACCGCTCCCGGAACCGCTTCTGCTTGAGCCGGTTGATCTGGCGCTTGTGGGCGTCGACGTCCTTCATGCTTCTTGTTTGCGGCGGTTGTGGTGCAAAGTGAATAACGTTGGTGGGTACCGACGTACATTCGCATTCTTATCCCACTCAATCCGCTCCATTTCATCGGATTGGCTAACAGGTCCCGTGCGGGGTGAGCTGGTAGGAACTTTTGAATGCGAAGCGTTGTTTACCGGTATTTGCGACGACGGCGCGTCGCTTGCTGCAGTCTTAGCGCGCTTTCACATTCGCACCTAATCGGAAAGTTGCGTGAATTTCAGTCAAGTGCGCCGTCGTACTTTATCGAAATTGTTATACTTTATTCAGGTATAACGTCCGGCGATGTGACAGCACTTAACAGGAATTCCTATTTCGCACCTAACAGGACGCATTTGGCGCGATATGATTGGCTCAGACTAATAAAACTGCGTTTCATTGGTCAAAATGGCTTGATATATAGCCAATGGGTTGGCCAGAATGTACGAATTAATCCCCTGGGATGCTGGTACACCACGTAAACGTTCCTACCAGGAAAATCCTGCATATCAGGGAGTCTCATTGGCCACTGAGTATTACAAAGCTCTGGTTTTGTGTGTCTTGTGTGGACTTCACGTAGAAAAGGATTGGCGTAGGCAGAGGCTACATACCGACGCGTGTCAATGTATACGACCTGTGATCAAGGACACCCGGTCGCTGGTTTCGCCCAACGACGTTTTGCGTGCTACATGAACAGTGTGTGCACTGAAGTTGCGCGCAACAACATTCGCATCGTTACGGTATGAGCGAGTTGCTGCAGCGGCGTCAAATAGGGTTGGGTGACTCCATTTTGTCGTGGTTGCTTGTCACGTGGTTTGCGACACGGAGCTCCTGGTTTTAAGCTCAAAAGCAATCTAGTTGTGTGTGTGGCTATGCAGAGTCACAGATAGGTTATTAAACGGCCATGAAGATCGACTGGCGTGACTGGTTGTGCAAGCGTATTGAGGCAATCTGGCAATCTATGACCCGTAGCAAAGATCACAGCTTTTGAGGGCACACAGCCATGACGTGAACCGTCGTGACCCTTCAGCTGCCACCTCGAAAAGGCCGCTAGTAGTGCGAAACGTACTCGGCTTCTCTCGCTCACCATCCGTACAAGTACTGTACACAAATCGCCAACGTTGTTTACAAGTCCTTGCTCGAACGAAGGCGCCTACGTGGTGTCGCCGCGGAGGGTCAAGATTTCGACGTCGCTCGTCATCATGGGCCGCCAATCACGGTCAATTGACTGCTGGTACGCGGAAAAGAGGAGGTCGTCGGGCATATCAGGCACGTCATCGCCTTGGTCGTTGCGCATGTCTTCCTTCCACGTCATAACGCGGCCTTGGACAACCTTGGGTCCATTGTAAAATAGGGTTTTGATCCTTGTCTCGGTAGGGCCGAAGCGCTCGAGCACATACCTACACCCCTTTTACTGATAATATCTTCAGCAATTGAAGCTGTACCAAAACATGCGTGGGCGCCACCGAATGTTCTCTGGCTGCAGCGCGTCTTGGTTGAAATTCCCAAACAAAAACACGATCCGGTTCTCCGTGACAAACTCGCGGCACACGTAGTAGTTGCTCTCGTCCGCCGTCAGCGCCGTGCGCCGGTAGATCATGCGCGGGTCGATCTCACGCACGAGCTACGGAAACGCCCATGTTGCTTTAAAGCGCGTCTGTACATATGTAAAACTATGTAAAATACCTCTTCGTCGAGAAATTCCGTCCCGCAGGGGTGGGTATCACCCCGCATTTCTGCCCAGATTTTGTCTTGGAGCGCAGCAAATGTCGCCTCGAGCGAGAGTTGGTTCGTCACTTGAATGCGCCCAATGATATCGGCAAAGCCGTTGCCACGGTCAACGACAACGAGGTCTTGCAGACTGCCCGTCGTCGCGTGAAGACCCGTCGCCGCCAGCGCGCGGTCCGTGTTGAAATACATGTGCTGCGTAAACCAGTCGAGCCCGAGCTTTCGCGCCTCAACGTCGGCGAGAAGAACCGTCGGTGACGGCAAGTGCCATACCTAAATGCAGTGTGAGCAGAGAGTACAACGCCAACGACGCAACATACGATGGCCGGCGACGGCGGCCGGGTCATGGACTCAACCCACGTCGTCATGCGCGCAATGCGCTTACTGAGTTCTTCGCACTTGGTGCGCAGCATCTCGAGCGAGAGGCGGGACTCGACGCTGGCCTGCGCGAGGCCGGCGGCGACGTCGCGCCACGGCACGAGCGAGCTCTTCCTGGTTGCGACCAAGGTCGGCAACAGGCGGCTGAGCTCCTCGACTTGCGTGCGGAGAAGCGAGCGCTCGGTCATGAACCGGTCGCGGTGGCGCTTCTGCTTCATGCGATTGCGCATCCGTTGGTGCTCGGAGCGGCCTGCGCCGTCCTTGTTATCGTCGAGCACACCCATGGCATTGTGTTGCCAATGGACGCAACACGGCCT